ATCATACAATGTGTTGTACATATGTAGGTGCATTTCGGATCAGACCACTAAAAGTGGTCTGAGATTTTGGTCATGATCTGCTTTAAATGTATATGTCACTCAAATATGAACGGAACAGGGACGTGTCATTGACAATGACTTGTTTCATGTTCGGGAAAAAGCCTGAAATATAAGCCGCACCCCAAACTTTCACAAACCAAACAGCCACCACATTTTTCAGAAAAAGATATACCATTTGATTTTTAATTATAAAAGTGTTAAATTTGTCTTCAATGCTCAGCTCATCTTTCGAAAACAACTAATTTCTTGATTTAAAATTAAAATCCCATTAAAATCAAAGCCAAACGATCGCACTAGAACAACGGTAAATCTCTTCCGTGTTTCGTTTACCATGAGGTCGCTGAAGTACATTAACATATTTAAATGAGCTATGGTAATTTAATCACGTTGGCACCATCCAGCGTTTCGATCGGTTAATTAGTGACTTGACCTATCAGGTCAAAAAACAGTTTCAAGTCACTAAAGATGTTTGAACAAACATGGCGGATGTCGTATCGGATCGAGCGTTTATATGTGACCGAAATCATTCGCTTGCGGTGAAACTAAATTGAATTTTCACAACAATTCAACGAATTTATTTTTTGTACGTTATTGTAATCACTACTGAGTAATAATCAGCAATTGTAACACTTCGAAAACAAGTAAGTTATTTACTTGTATGAAACGCAGCATTACCGTTACCATGATTATTTGCTACTAAGAATGCATTCGTTTTTGTTTTTAATTCTTTTAGAATATACTTTTCGTTATCAAAAAAAAATAAGAAAATAAATATATATTACATTAAATAATATACTGAGTATTTTTTTTGTTATCATGCGAACATTTTTTTTTGATTGACTTTTTTTATTTTTTTATTTTAATTTTCCTGATGTCTAAATTAAACATGGAATGTACAGTCACTCTGCCGGAAGTCGAACATGCCAGTAGTCGAACGCAATCGACTGTGTCAGACAGCTGTCTCAGTTGTGACCTATACCGGTGCTAACGAATTAGTCTATTCAAGAGATTGTAGTATACAGTACCGTA